GTTTATTTGTCTTCTTAAAATGAACATAAACATCAAAAGACTTCATTCTTGCTTGGAAAAGCTGGAAGATAAAATGGTTGTTTGGCAGTTTGTATTCTTTCTAACAATTTTATACTATGGATGGTTACCACCCACCAATTCTCACCACTCCCAGGAATAAGTCATTCCTGGAAGAAAATGGGGAATTGCCTTCTGCTAATGTTCTCTTTCTCCTTTCTGTTCAATCCACTCTACCAAACAAGGAACTAAAATTTAAAATTGTTAAAAAGCATGTGTTTTGAGGTCTCCTATACTAAATGGGAGGGTTAGAAAACTATTTTTACTGACTCTTTTAGATGTTAACTAATTTGCAAAATTTGTTAACTATACATAAATGGAGAAGGCCCCTTTATGGACTAAACCAAAACCAAAATTCCACTTAATGTAATTTATTCCTCATTTACCATTTACATGTGTGTGTGCATTTTTTAAAAATGTTCTCAAGTGAATCAAGATTTTGACGTCATCTGTGCTTTAGTTCCACCATAGTGGAATCTAAACCTATCGTACAATTTTATTTTAGAGAAATGACTATCCATCGGCCACAATCCAGGAGAACTTGCTATTGGGTTATCTGATTTTGCTAGGCTAACCCACCAACACACTCCCAAAGAACTGATTTATCTAGTCAGAACTCAAGTCTCAAGAGGGACTGAGGGGGAGCTGGGCACAGATGGGAAAGGGAGGATACAGAAACAAAAACCTTTCCTGTCTTCTATAAATCCGAGGACAGAGGAAGTGAATGTCTTTGGTCTCTGATTCAGATCACTTGAGGTGAGTTAACCACTTCAGAGATTCTGGGACGGCTAACAGCCCTGGTGTGATCCAACCCTCCCACTGCCACCCTACTGAACTAGGGCTCCGGTACTCAGGAAGGGCTGAGCTATGGCTATCAGCACATCTTCAGAGATTCTGGGACGGCTAACAGCCCTGGTGTGATCCAACCCTCCCACTGCCACCCTATTGAACTAGGGCTCCGGTACTCAGGAAGGGCTGAGCTATGGCTATCAGCACATCAGAAGTCTTCTCCTTCTGGAGAAAACAAGAATTCAGGGCATGAGCTGTTAAAGCTCAATACCTAAGAGGGAATGAAAAGATAAAAAGCCTGGCAAAATAAGTATAAATAAGTAAGCCAAAAGATTGCCATTCCTCAATAGGCAGTTTTGTTAAGTGCACCTTCAGGTCTACAAAGACATTTCAGCATATTACAGTACAAGGGGGAGGAGCTTTGTCAAACGTCGCATGCCTATGCTACACAGGTAATCGCTGTGCTCCATTACTGAATTCATAGCAACGAGCTACAGGTGGATAGTGGCATTCATTTTCCCCATACCATCCCAAATTCATGACAACAACTCAGCTCCAATCCCAGACTGACAGGCTCACCGCATGCAGCAGTTTTTTCTGTATCACATGCAGAAGAATCAGCTAGTCCAGGATATAATTACGAGAAGTATAACCCGAGGAGCCAAAGTCAGTCTTAGTCTTGGTCCCACTTTCTCATCCTCTCGCCCATCCATCCCACAGTACTGACTGGATTATTGCTGTTGACAGAGGGCGGCGTTTCAAGTTCCGTGTGTCCTAGACCTCAAAGTCAAAATAAAAGATCAAGATTTCCCCAGGGATTTGGGAGAGGTTGGCATTTTCTTTCCTGACTGGGGACTTTTAAGCAAGTAGAAGAGGAATAGCCAGGGTGAGTCAAGGTTTAAAGGAGAAGGAAGCATCACAGGGGAGGGTTTAATGCCCTGTAGTCAGACGTTGAGCAGTTCTTGGCCCTCATCTTCCGTGATGCGTGCTGTGTTTGTCTTACAGATTCACAAAAGTTGCACAGGAAAATAACATATCCACCTTCTTTCTTTCGATCAAGTCAGCCAGCCTGGGTATAACTCTGGTTTCTTGGTTGAGCGCCTCACTCTTAGTTCTAGGATAGGATGGGGAAAGGGATGAAAGTCACACAGAAGATTTCCAGAAGAAGCCAGGCAGGAATGGCAGGCGGTCAGCAGCAGGCAGCCACGTGCTAAGTGCAGAAGGAAGATTCCCCACCTTGTTGTCCTTAAAAAGGCTGCTGTGAGTGCCTCCACATTGGGGGATGGCTGCTGGGCTCCAGAGGCCTGTGTTACATGGCTCTCTCTCGGCTGGACACAGGGTACCCCCATTCTCTGGGCTCAGGAACTGGGAATGCAGAAGTTAGATACTCAGCCTGTGAAGTGACTGTCAGGTGGGAAGATCACAGGAGCATCATAAGACATACCTGAAGAGGGTGGGCCAGGAAGGAAGACCTAAGAAAGGTGACTATGAACTGAGTGTTCCCACATCCACAACAATGCCTGAAAAGGTCAACAATCAGAGATTTGCAAAGTGCTGTTGCCAACATAGAAAGAATAAGGAAATGTGCCAGGAACACGACACTGGACCTGAGGAAGACTTGAATGTCCAGAGTG